TACTATTTTATTCTCGTAATTTTATGGCTATACTCATTGCGACTTTATTCTCGTAATTTTACGACTTTATTCTCATAATTTTACGACTGTATTCTCATAAATTTACGACTTTATTTTGATAATTTACAATTTTATTCTCGTAATTTTATGGCTATTCTCATTGCGACTTTATTCTCGTAATTTTACGACTTTATTCTCATAAATTTACGACTTTAGTCTCATAATTCTCCGACTGTATTCTCATAAATTTACGACTTTATTTTGATAATTTACAATTTTATTCTCATAATTTTATGGTTATTCTCATTGCGACTTTATTCTCGTAATTTTACGACCAAATTCTCCAAATAGAAGGAGAAAAAATCTCTATCCTGGCGTAATACTCCGTCTTACTGTTGCCACCATCTGTATTAGAGAGAAAGAATGGTAGGGGTGTCCACAGGTGGTGGCCAATGATTGGCTAATGGTGGCCATGGCCACCTCTGGCCCCCCATCTAGGTCTGCCCCTGGGCAGCGAGGGCCAGAAGTATAGAATCTGCTTCATATTTGCATGAAGACAAGACAGCATGGGTTTTGTGGAGGGGGTTTGTTTCATTGGGAGACATTTTGTTTTGAATGTGCTGATAAACAGGATGGTGAAGGAGCTGTAATTGATGGAAAGATGGCCGCTCCCTCAGCATCCCACCTGCTGTCATGTTTCCATCCATAATCACCTGCCTCTCTTTCTCCTGCTCTGTTGTCTCTCTCCAGGTAAGCCGGTGATGATTATCACGGAGTACATGGAGAACGGATCGCTGGATGCATTCCTGAGGGTCAGTCATGCGTTTTCTCTGCACACGCATCGGCGTGCGACACGGCTGTAGCCTGCCGACGCCGCCTTATCTCTGTAATGTCATCCGCTGAAATAACAAGTGTCGGTTCACAAACACAGACCCTAATCCTTATCCGCTTTGATGATCAGCTCGACAACAAGGTTTCACCTCCGTTTTTCAGGTTGGCTGAACTCCAGGGGCTCACTGATCCCAGGATACACAGAACACGCCGGGGAACAGGCCCACATTTAACGGAAATGCAAAGATTAGCTTTATGGGCCTGTAAAAACACCACGGATCCATCAGGATTAGTGGAATAAAAGAAAGCTGCTTTTACTGCAAAATATTGTGGTTTAGGATCCTTACTTTTGGATACTTTCTCGACCCAAATCCTTAAAGAAAAAATAGAATTAACTGAAAAGTTAATTTCTAATTGTATAATATGAGCAGTTTTTCTTTTCTGCTTTTCAAACGGAAATACTAAAGACTGGGAAGTCAAAGGCAGGTTGCCAGCGGAAACGAAATGATTTTAAAAGTCAGGGTTTGTAAAAAACTCTCATGCTGCAAACCGAGCTGCAGTTACGCATCATTTATAACCAGTGAGAGTATTTACAGTGTCTTCGCCAAAATTCAACTTGATTCTACTTTTGCTAGACGCCGCAGGAGAACCAATGCAAATACTCAGAGAGATTTCACTCCAAAGGAACCTGAATGATTGCAGCATCTGGATTTTCAAAATAGTTAACTTAAAGGAAAAGTCCGGTCAGAAAGGAATAATCAAAACCAA